TATGTCACCAACACCATTTGCCAGCTGCGCCACGACATTGTAGAATGCAACACTGTCATTCCGATACTATGCTTTCAAATAATAAGAACCCAAGCAGACACTCATATAATTCATGAACAGACTTTACCAGACAACAATATCACCAAGATACCGCCCTACATTGTCAAAATGAGATCATCAACAGAATCAACACACTAATTCAAGCCAGTTTTTTCTCAGAGAACGATGACCTGGTTTTTTTTACCGACATAGCAACGGAATTTCCCTAAGCTCTTATTCATTGCGCTTCTGCCTTTTAAGTACAGTCACTCTATTGCTCCTATATTGGCCACAATTTTGTTAAATTGAAGGGAAACTGTACAAATCGCCATGTGTTCTGGCCGTTGAGTGAAACCAAATATTTTCGATTAACTTTAATTTCCATGCCTACTGGCAAGGAAGTATTGTAATCGCGTAAATTTTCATAAATAAGATATTATGCTTTTGGATGTTATATGGCATGTACATCACGAAAACCCACTCCCACTCATTTTCTTCGTTCTGTCTGGATGTTGCCTGTCGGTCGATCCGCTAATCCTTGGACCGTCTATAACTGGAAAGTACCAATCCGATTTGAATGAAATTTTCACACGAGCTTACTACTAGAGGACAAAAACACTTTGTAGTTTCAGAAAATTGGTCCAGTGGCGGTTTAGCCACGGGGCAAAAAACGAAAAAACAAATCGCTCAAAGTTCTTTTTTTTTGACGCTCCACATGCTATTGACAATTTTTATAAAGATAGGGAATGGGTTGGGGAAGATATATCTTAATTTTTTACGTAAATATGTTTGTGTGCTCCTAATCCCAGTAATTCAGCGAGTATCACGCATATTTCACATATCATTGAAATCCCCGTACATTTGCCCTTAAAACTTGGAATGACAGACGAATGCTTTCGATTCGTGTTCCTGCTTCTACTCTCTAGGTCTACCGGCAGACGTACCAGTCTCGATATGTCATTATTGCCGTGGTGCCGGGTCTGACAAGTAGCGTAGTCAGGTATCGGGGAAAGGCGACGCTATCCGACGGGCGGTACTACCGGTAGGGCAGGAAAAGTATGTCTACTAATTTTATAGGCTTGTCTTTTTTCTCAGAGGATTTTACTTGTGCTGAACATAATCTTTCACAAACCAATGACGGCGTTACGTAAAATGCGCAGAGTCAACCTACTTGACGCAATTTTTTGCTAAGGTTAGTAAAAAACAAATTGTATATCATTGCTTCGAAGTATCGTATTTTATCTATGCATCGCCTCGATGTTTATCCTGGAGTGACCTACTGGATCGATGTGTCATAGTTCCAGGCTACCACTAGTAAAAATAGTTGGACTATTTGCCGTTTGGCAATTTGCATAAGCAATCCTAGCATATTAAAAAATGGGAAATATCTCGTTTTTCTAACTAAAGATTTTTTGCAATTCAGCTTATGGAATATTTCAGATATTAAATATCTCCAAACCTTACGGTGAGTTACAATTTACCCATTTTATGCCCACAAAGGAAGCAGCAAGTTCATTAAGAACTAAAATGAGACCCTTTATGCCTGTATAATGTAAAAATCTTCTGATTGAATAGAAACTATTAAGAAACTGAATGCTAAACATAGCTATTGCTTCAGATGTATTAAAAGTATAAAAGTCAATACCTGAACAGTAACCACGGCTTGTTCAAGTTCCGTTAAATTGGAAGAAATGCAAAGACTTTTGCGCTTGGAGTGGAAATCACGATGTAAGCATTGGAAGGAACATCATATAATTTAAATTCTGCTATTGAATTTATATGAGTGAGGCATTCTCCATCAGTCCTGGAATGGTATAGTTTTGAGGAACACTGTAGTCCAGTATAGTAATTATTCCATACATATTCTCTATAAAGCACACACAATGATGTGGACGTCTCCCACATAAAAGACGTTAATTATAAGGTCTTATTACCCATATTTTTGTTTCATGTTTAGTTTCAATTGTTGTGCGTTCCAGACAGGAAAAGGCTATTGGTCATAAATGCACGATGGGGAAATTTTTTTGGACCTTCAGCAAGTGCAAACGGCAGCTATATCAAGGTTTGCAGTGGAGAACTTACTATATCCCTAACTATATTATACTTGCGCCTTGTATGGTTTTGAACATATCGTTTTCAACTTGCTTACCAAGTCTGGTTTTAAGAATTTCTGACTTTTATAAGCTTTAAGTTTAATCATTTTCCAAAACCGCTCTCCATTCTGGGTAATTCCGTAATAATACATTGTCGGTTTTATTAGAAACAACATTGGCGGTTGTCAAAACATCCTTGATGTTCGTATATATAGTTCCCTCGATATTTTAGGCCATTTCACTTTTCACATCAATTGGCGAGGAAGTCTTAGAATCGCTAAGAATTTCAAAAATTGCAGGATTGCAGCACTATTATTGTTATTATCATGCAAATAACGAAAATGCTCTGTAGGCTATGAAAATCGCGCCAGTGGTGGCGGAGTTATGGTTAAAGAACAAAACCGATTAAACTTGTCCAAACCGCCGCCATTTTCGAGATCCCTGCATATTCTTAAAAAAATTGGCGGGATGGTATTTGTACATTTTTTGGCGTGATATATTTTTGCTCTCTCAATACCAGTAATTATACTCAGCTGTAAGAGATATGTTACATATAGATTTCCCTTTACATTGAAGACTTCGCGCCGTTGTTTGATAGCAAATAGTACAAATTGTCCGAGGTTTCTGAAAATTTCACATGTTGGCTTTAAACATCTTATTGTATAGTATAGTCGAAAAAAATCAAATGCGTAGAAACATTGGTTTTTGCAGAAACGTGCAAGAAGAATTTACAGTGAACTAGTTTTCGTAATGCATGCAATTTTTATTTGTAATAGAACCTAAAAATAAAATTTATTTAGACGGAACAATGACTTACAGGTATAATCAACGCTTGTGTCACATGGAAGTATAGTTATGAGAGATTTCTTGTATACGTATTTAGAATCTGGAAGTGTGACAGAGTTCTGCATTGTTGTACCCGCTCAACCTTCACTTGAAAATACAACACTTATAAGGAATTCATGCAAACAAATTATACAGATACTGACCACATAGCATGAAGAACCACCAGAAAACCGTCCGTCTGCCGCCTCTTGCCATCGTGAATCCGCACCGGTCACTCCGCACCCACTGTTTTTGCTGGCACTCGCGTCGAACGTCAGTCGCGCGTCCGTCTATCACACCCTTAACTCCGCGTTCGCGCGCGGTTTACTGCACTGGCTTTGGCGTCGGCTGTCGCGGCTGTAATGCGGATGCGGCATCGGTTGAGATCGCATGCCATGCCGTTGCCGAGACGGGAGGCGCGCCTTGCCGCGTCGTGCCGCCGACCGTGATAGCGTTCCTACGCCCGGTGCCGACCGCGGCACACGCGCCCCCGCGGTGGATTATGACGCGCGAAGAAGCGCCCGGATGCCAAATGATTTTTTATGGAATCGTGGGGCAAAGCACGTTTTGCAACTTTGTGTAGAGGTCGACGTCATTAAAGGATTACTGATGATTTGCCGTATTTATTCCGAGGGGAGCTAAAATCCAACAAATTGCACTCTACACGTGTATGATCAAAAATCAAAAGATTTCGGGATTGTTCAATTCATATGTTTTTTAGCAATCTGTCAAAACTGGGCATTTGATTCTAAATAATAAAAAACTATGTAATAAGAATTCTATTGATTTTCATTCTGCATCATTTATTTATTTATGTAATCAACGAGTAAAACCCTTGCTACAAATACAAAAAACTCAAAGAATTACGTTGTAATGTTTTTAACACTCCGTTTAGGCTCATTAACAATAGTTCCAAATACTTCCAAACTTTCCAGTCGCGGATGAGGTGGGGGGAGGGCTCCTAGACGTCTGACCCTTGCTTTTGTAATCGAATACCATTATGTTACTTTCTGACACATCATGGCGACAGAGGTATACTAACTATAAGTGATAGATATAGGAATTGAGCATTGCGATTTATTGGTATCCTTTGGTATTCCAAACATCACTTACATTTGCAGCACAATTCTTACGATTTATGCGTATATACGAGCATTGTAACTTGCGACAAATCTAAGTCTGAGTAACATCATAGATATACAGATTGCACTTAAAAAGTGATTTATGTTCTGTTTGTTGCTCAATAGTAATTTGAAAAGTTTGTAAAGCTTGACTGATTTTCTTCGGCGTTGGTGTTGCAGCAAAGCACTATGTTAGGTGAACGCCTAAATTGGAAATAGACATTTATGAGGTTTGGTTAGCGGTGCGCCTGTGGCCTGTCCAGAAAATGCGTCGATCGATGCTCAAAGTCAATACCACACGTCCTTCATCTCTTCCCGCGTATGTGTCTATTTATGTTGCTATATTGAATTCGTTTAAATCACAGAGCTTCTGCACTACACGTTAATATGTACAGCCCTGTATTTCTGTACGTTTTTCATATAAACATCCATTATCAAAATAATTCATATCCAACAGATATAGATCTCTCCAAAGATTTCCAACATTTTTAAATGCGATCAACACCGATTTGAAAACTGAGAAAACAACAACTATGTCGTAAATCTATGTTCCTCAACGAAGAATAACTGTAACATCTATATTGAATTTTAAAAAATAATTGACTATACATATTGATATTTGTGTCACCTGCTGATATAATAGGAGTGCTTGATTGTGTCAGTATTTGCACCATTTACTTGATTTGTTTAAGGGGCAGTTCAGAGTCTCAATCCTTGAGCTTAGTACACATTAGTAGACCCTGTTGCGCAATTTATCTATACGAGGGATGTCTTTTAAGTTTTGCATATAGAAACATAGTAGGCCGCGCGGATCGAACGTCAGTACTGAATCTTAACCTCACTCTTTAGTAAACTTAAATTCAAAGTTTCACAACAATACGTGCAGTGTTATCACTACAGTGAATTTTTAAGTGTCACCAAGTCATTAGAAAAATGGAACTCAACCGAGAACATTTTCGTGCAATAATTTATTACAACTTTCAGAGACACTTATCGCAACAAGAATGCCTAGCTGAGTTACTGTCTGTTTTCGGCAACGAAGTGCCACATCAGTCGACAATTTCCCGTTGGTATGGAGAATTCAAACGTGGACGGGTGAGTCTTAGCGACGATCCCAGGGCGGGCGCACCAAGAACGGCACTCACCCAGGAAAACGTCGATGCTGTGCGCAAACTCATCATTGAAGATCGGCATGTGACATATCGCGAGATTGAGGCGTCCTTGAAGATCTCAAAGACCTCAACTCAAAAAATTTTATATGAAGAATTAGGAGTAAGAAAACTAGTTTCTCGTTGGATACCTCACCTTACTGGTGTCAAAAAACGCTTGACCGTATCGATTCCGGAAACTCAAAAAATGTGTACAGCATTGCTAGTAGTGATGAATCGTGGATTTACTGTTATGAACCAGAAAATAAACGACAGTCGGCTGTTTGGGTGTTCCAAGTTGAAGAAATGCCAACAAAAGTCATCCGTTCTCGAAGTCTTTCGAAAAAGATGGTCGCGACATTTGTGTCAAAAGCGGGTCATATTGCAACAATTCCTCTTAATGGGCAAAAAACTGTTACTGTGGATTGGTATACCACCACTTGTTTGCCAAAAGTCATCACCGAGCTTCGAAACATCATCCCCGAAAGAAGAATCATCCTCCACCAAGACAATGCAAGCTCGCACACAGCCCAAAAAACAAGGCAGTATTTTACGGAAGAAAACGTGGAATTATTGGACCATCCTCCATATAGTCCCGATCTAAATCCTTACGGTTTCTGTACTTTCCCGAAAATTACAAACAGACTGCGTGGTCAAAGGTTCCAGTCACCAGAAGAAGCAGTTGACGCATTCAAAAATGCCGTTTTGGATCTGCCAGCAAATGAGTGAAATAAGTGCCTCAAAAATTGGTTCGAACGCATGCAGATGTGTATTAATCTTCATGGAGAATACTTCGGAAAACAATAAAGTCATTTAAAACTACCTAGCGTGTTGTTTTATTTCCATATGCAAAACTTAAAAGACATCCCTCGTAGGCAGTCTGGAGACCGTTTCAAGACACGATCTATAGATGGTCTATAGACATCCTTCTTTGTCTCGTCTAGCGTCCATAGGGTAATGTGAGACATTGTTTTGTGAGGAATGTCTCGGGGTCTCTCGGAATGTTTTTTTTTCTGGTAACAGAAGGTTTTTATGCTTTAATCTTTAATATTATTAAACTAGTTGATTATATATTGATTATACATGCCAGGTAATTATCATATAATAAAATATTGTCTTTCTGAGCATTTTCCAGGTTTTTTTGTCAATCTGGCATTGACCAGATAGAACGGAATGGATTTAAGGAGCAATAAATAATAGGATACATTCTAGAAGTTCCACCGAAACTTACCAGCCCCAAATACCGTTTCCCCGCCCCCTGGACGAAATCCTAAATCCACCCTTGAAACTATCTATTATTTCTATTACCTAACCAAAGAAGGCGAGTTTTGAGTTCGCTCAAACCATAATTTCTTTGATGAAAGAGGACAAAGAAAGTATCAGTATCTCAGATTCTCATTAAGTGATTTTTTTGTAACAGCTGAGGACAATCAATCTCATCACTGATAACTTTGTGGAAAGAAAGTTAGGGAAATCATATTCATGTATAGAAGAGTAAGATTTATTTGGTTGATCTGTAACTTATAGCTTGAGGACCAGATGGAACATCAAGTAATTTACGGACCTTGTAAAAATCACACGACACAATTGATAACTATAAAAGAATCTAGCCTGCCTGAATTTTAGTTTGACGTTCCTGTTTTAATTGTATCTCAGGGAATTAGTGCAAATATGTATTTTATATCATCAGAAAATTGCATGAAAAAACTTTGAGCTTCATTATACAACTATTTTGTAAAATCGTATCGACCTACGGTCAAAAAAAACGAAAACATGGAAATACTAAGCTAACTTACTTGACTCCTATGCCTTAAGTAACGGAAGTACTTGTAGATTACATTTTTAACATTTCACAAACTTTTATCACAAAGATTTATATATTACTCAGTTTTCAAATATTTTGATGGAATCTAAGGAGCACCGTCCTGTCAGTAACATTGCAGAGCAACACCAGGAAAAAAGTATGGTTCTGTCAGAAGAAATTGGAGTAAATAGTGGATATCATTTCAGAAACTATTCCTTAGAGTCTACTCAAATAAATATCAATATCACGGTGATACTGTTTGCTGACTATTATTGATGCCGAATTATCAACTGGTTTTTGTTTCCCTTGCCGAGCAGCCCCAATAGATACTGGAACGTATTATTTCTGTCAGAAAGTAAAATTAGTAAATATTGCCTCATTTTAAATAACGGGAGGAGTACTTCGAAAATTGTAAGCCGCTTTTGATTCAGAAAGGGCTCAAAATACGTAAATAAACTACCACTTCAGCGAATTCGTTTTTTTCATATTCCCACTATAGGACTTAGCCCAAACATTCATCAAATTTGATTAGGCTTCAAATGTATCACTTCTAGCTGGACTTGCATGCTCCTCAAATTTTTTTCAGTCACCTAAGAGCGCACCCGAAATCGTTGTCTTCTAACATCTAAGCATGTTCAAACGAGGTGTACAGGAAAATGAGAGCGTTGAAAATTAAATATCCTACTGTGGTAAATACTTCCAAAATATTTTCAATTTCTGTACCAGATTTACAATCACGAGTTTTTTGCTTTTTTCAAGCCGCTAAAAATTGCTGCAAAAATTAATGATTATTGATGCATCTTATCTTAATGGTTAACTGGTAATCTTTCTTTTCTTTACTCAACCAGTAGGATACTGAGTACTTAATTATATACGTGTAAATTTGCTTCTGATACATTATTTCCAGGTGCTATATCCATCTCTGCAGCGAACTAAGAATTTTCAAATTACTCGTATTTACATTGAAGTAGTCTACGGGCGGTCCAAGACCCTCGATATCATTTCCCGTAATAAATGATATTCGAAGATTTGAATACCTCTCGGGAATGGATTGAATATATTTATCTACACAAAGTAATTCAAATGCAAGTAATAAATCGTTTCGTGAACCTCTATCAATGTCGAGATGCAGCAGTTTCTTCATTTTACCAGCCATGTTTAGGTAAGGAGAAGCCTGTCCAGGTTATGATCGCATCTCTGTCTCATTTCTTAGTCAAGTTTGGAATAAACAAAGACAAAAAAATATCAAAAGCTAATGGATCAACTTAACTTCATAGCTCTGAAGTTTACTGACTCTATTACCCCTGGCTAATCATGAATAACAATATCAAGCAGGTTTAAGATTATACTTCCACAGTAAGTCTATGCATCTATCCGGTTATCGATTTCTAGCATTGTTTAAATAGAAAAGTTAAAACATGCGGAAATAAACTTATAGACGTACTTAACTAAAGTGAAATATTCATACGTATGTTATTATGTTTCATCAGGAATTCTCTTCTTCTAGATGAAACCACAACCAAATCACATGTATTTCGTATAAAACAGCATACATTTGTTTGAGTCTGGATGAGAAATGCTCTGTCCGTTGTTCTCATTTCCAACGTACACGTGTATTTTACGTCATCAACGCTAGAGAGTGCGAGCGCCGCAAATAATTTCAAGCATTTCCATCCAAAAATATATCTTACTACTTTCCGGCATTCCACATTCTTATTCGTCCGGTGGGCTACGTTATTTGTTCCTAAGTGGCCTTCTAAACAGGTCATTAATATTTCTAACTACCCCACGACGATGCTTTTCTTTGTGATGCCTATGCGTTCGCAAGAATTTAGGTATCGGAACCATTATTCTTTTGAGGACTGATCTACCTTCCGGGAATGTCTTTCATGCGAATTAGATGGTATGTGTATATTTGATGTAATTCATCACATGCTGTAGAGTATAAATCTAAATATAAAGGGTTGTCCAATAGGGACGCAGGAAAGTAAACGTCAATTTGACATAGACGCCATCTTTGTTTTCTGTCACCGACATGTCATTTTATTAGTTGATTGTTTACCATTGATCGCTATGGAGTCGTATTCGATTGAAGACCGCATTAAAGTTATACAAGAGCACTACAAAAATGGTGCAAAAATAAAAAACACGTTTCGCGCGCTTCGTGAACATTTCGGCCGCAACAACCGCCCAAACGAAACAACCATCGGTCGTCTGGTGCGTAAATTCGAGGCAACAGGTTCTGTGGCAAATCTGCCAGGCTCTGGCCGGCCAAGGAGCGTTCGCACACCGGAAAATATTGCTGTTGTGAAGGAGAGTGTGAGAGACGATCCGAAACAATCAACAACGCGTCGATCCCAAGAATTGGGCATTTCGAGAACCAGTTTGCTCCGCATTCTCCACAAGGATTTGAATGTACACGCCTACAAGATCCAATTGACGCAAGAGCTGTATCGGGCCGACCATTTTTCGCGCCGAACGTTCTCAGATTGGCTCCTTGAACACCGCCAAATTGATGCCATTTTTCATCAAAAATCATGTTCAGCGACGAAACGCATTTCACTTTGAATGGGACGGTAAACAAGCAAAACTGCCGCATCTGAGCGAACGAAAATCCCCGTGACTATCAAGAGCAGCCGATGCATCCTCAAAAAGTGACTGTCTGGTGTGCATTGTGGTCAAAAGGCATCATCGGACCTTACTTTTTTGAAAATGCGGTCGAGGACGCCGTTACCGTCAATTCTGAGCGATATCACGTGATAATAGAGGACTATTTTTTGCCGCAACTTGAAGGAATGGATATGGACGATGTTTATTTCCAACAAGACGGTGCAACATGCCACACAACCAACGTCAATATCCATCGATTGCAGTCCTTCTTCGGTGATCGCGTGATTTCGCGCAGAGGAAATGTTCCATGGCCACCAAGATCGTGCGATTTGACTCCCTCAGACTTCTTTTTTATGAGGATATTTGAAAAGCAAAGTCTACGTCAACAAACCAGCCACCCTCCAAGAACTCAAAAACAACATCGTTGTCGAGATAAATGCCATAGAACCGACCATGTTGCAAAATGTCATTGAAAATTTCGTACCGTCGCGTGGACGTCTGTAAATCCAGCCGTGGTGAACATTTGAGCGATATTATTTTTCATACATAAATGGTATAAATGAACCTTCAAAATAAAGTACCCAACTTGATTTGAATATCAATCTTTCTTGTCTTAATATGCGTTTACTTTCCTGCGTCCGCGTTATCTCAAATCACAAACGACAAAGGCATTGGTGATGTAACCAATGTAACTTCTTAGGCACTCACGGCCGCGAGTGCGAATGTTCAATTTCATTCCTCTTTACATCACAGCAAAACATTCTTGAAGGAGAAAAGACTGCGGAGTATTTATTTTCAAAGTTTAATATCCCTCTCGCTCAGCTTGGTTATCAAATTGCTGTTTAGAGAAAATGCAAGTAGGGAACAGCATATCTATCTTGTAAAAACAATGTTTTCCTCGAGAAGTTAAGAAAATAGTATTTCTTTATTTGTAAAACATTCGTAATCAAATACTCATAAAATAAAAAAAAAATTTGTTTGAAGTTGTCAATCCATATTTTTTCCACAATGTCAGCATAATGACCGTTGGGTCTAGCCACTTGATTGATCGTCCTTTCTTCTTCCATGAAGTTTTGACTACTCAGTGGGAAGTTGACTTATCTGTAAACCAAAAAGTTGAAACTAGCGTGTTTAATCGTTGGTTACATAGCGCATTGTGTTTGTTTCTTTTCTATAAACAAATCCTAAATTGTTCTCGTTGTTCCTATTGACCAAAATATCTCAGAACGATAACTGATCGTCTTTTCCAATTTCATATGTAAGCTTAATTGACTAAAATTGATTGTTCATTTTTTCGACATTTTTCTCCAAAGGA